GGCAGGCGGCTTGGAACTAGATGATCTTTAAGGTCCCTTCCAACCCAGACCATTCTTTGATTCTAGGATCTTGTTTTACTGGAACAGGAGTTGCTTGGTGTACTTTTTTGCTTTAGGACTGGTTTTTACCATGATGTTTTATAAATGCCCTGTAAAATGCATGAAGTGGTAGAGGGTTCTCACCGTTGCAGTAAGCTGAGCAGTGGATGAGCAGCTACTGAGCTGGCAGTATTTCCTTTACATTGTAGTGGTGGGAGAGAGGGCCAGCCCAGCCTGCCCTCCGTACAGAGATGGGAGGGAAGGTTAAAAACAGGCAGTAAGTGCAGCACGTGTTGAAAGGTCTTGAGGGTATTCCAAACTCAAGCAGGCAATCTTTGCAGAGAAAAAAGCTTTCAAGAATTAGAAGCACAGGCTTGAAAACTATTTTACAGGTAGATGAAGGAATTTGTCCTGGACCTTACTTCAGTTTGATTTGCTGATGAAATGACTGTGTATAGCTGGTGTACACATAACTTGCCCATGTTCTTTTAAAGCAATGACTTTTAAAATTCATTTACTTGAAATAATTTGCTCTACTGAATTTAGTTTGAACCTGGATTATAGAGGCTTGTTAGTTTAGGCAGGCATCAGTTTAGCCTAGGTTATTCTGCTAAATTTAGTTGATTAAAGCATCTAGATAGGATTTTAAAGTAGCTTTTATTTAAATGAATTTAAAGTGTGATTTACTGTGATATGATATAATTTTTGTGTGTAGATAACTGGCTGAGATCTGAACCTTTTTGATGGCAGCTTAAGAGAAGAGGGTGTCACATCATGAGATTCGATATGAAGAGAGAAGGAATATGAAGAACAATTATTGAGCTATGGGAGAGTAAGTTTGAATACAGGAAAAAGCAATCTGAGTTTTTTTTTGCACAGGCTCTGACTTGTGACTTAGAGACAGGACACGATTCAGGATTCCTGGGTTCTGTCAAACCTCATTTCCTAACTGGGCACCTGGATTTGAGGATTATATTTTCTGTCTACCACTGAACAGAATAATGCAACAATCTGTTCTCTATGTCCCCACATGCCATGATATCCTCTGTGGTTTATCTGCTGAGCTGTCCTCTCAGATGCTTCAAAGGCTTCAGATTCAGAGGTTGTGTCCCTATTCAGCTTCCCTGATTTTTTTCTTGTGCTCCCTCATGTAGGAAGCTTTGCTGCTTCCAGCTGCTCTAAACAAAAGATTAAAGTCCTACCTGTCCATTTGGGCAGAAGGCACTTAAGCACCTTTTTACCTATATAATCTTCCACAGGCAGAAAAGAACTCCCTAGGCTACATGGAAGAAGTTGGTGTAGTGGAAGGGTCATTAGTTTCTGTTAAACTTCAGTGAAATTGATTTGCTTGTGCAGAGCCTATTTAGACTGAGTGCTGAGCATTTTCCATTCAGTTGACATTAGCATTTAACATTTACATTTTAGTTGACATGTACTTACAAGGGAGGCTTTAGGGTTTTCCTGTGCCAAATGCGAAACACAGTCTTGTAGCAAGATATGACTGGGAGTGGATGGATATTCCACAGCTTCAGCGTGGGTGTCAGACCTGTAACAGTGGAACACGCCCTTGCTACAGCCAGAGAAGAATGGGCCTTTGGACTGCAGATTAAGAAATGTGTGTGAACCACTGTGCTTTCTTCTCTGAGAGCTGTAGTAACTTACTGCAGAGACTCTTTTCACCTACAAACCATGGAGAGAAGCAAAACTCTGCATGTAGAAGGTGTTTGAAAGAAAAAGAAAAACTTAAGGACCTCTTGAGGTCATCTAGCCCAGTTTTCTGCTCAGAGCAGGCCTAACTTGAAATTTAGACTGAATTGTTCAGAGCTTCTGCCAAAACTGCTCTTTGTTGTAGTCTTGTGTTTGGAGAAGGAAGTAAGTTGCAGATTTATTTAAAAGGAAACTCTTCTTCTGGAGAGAATTCAAAGCTTCCAAACAGCTGTTGGATGAAATCTTATTACAGATATTGTTGTACTGAAGATTCAAGTGTTACTAGCGTTTGCTTTCTGCTTTCAGGCAGAGAGACTGTTGGTTCCAGCAACATGGAAGATGATGTTGGCTTGAAGTTCCGTCAGCAGCTTCTGCTCATTGATGAAAATCTGGTGACTGAAGATGTAGCAGCTTTAAAATTTCTCTGTACTGACTTGCTCCCCTTCAGAAAACTAGAAGGTGTGAAGTCAGCAGTGGACATCTTTCAGCTTCTCATGGCTGAAGAATATCTGAATGAGAACGATACATTCCTACTAGCTGAGCTCTTATACATAATTAAATGTCACTCCTTGCTCAAGAAACTTGGTTATACCAAGGAGAAAGTGCAAGAATGTCTGCATGAGAAGGGAAGAGTGTCTCCATACAGGTAAGCTTGCAGTGGGATTCTGTTCTCTCCTTTATGCCCTCTATGCCATCCTGTTTCCCTTTCTATTCTTAAATTCTCAGATTGCTTTTAATTTCTACACTGTCTTCTGTCCTGCTTTTATCTCACTGGATCTCTGTTACAGGCAGATGCTGTATGAATTGTCAGAGAACATTACCAATGAGATGTTGAAGGATATCGTATTCCTCCTGCAAAACTGTCTTCCAAAGCGACGGACAACTCTTGTATGTGAAAAGAGAGCCAAATGTATATATGGTGGGAAGGGAAGAGGTGGGCAGAATAGGAGGAAAAGTGTGAAGAGGAAAATATTTGGCAGAATAGGGCATAATCTGCAACTAGGCTAGTCAGTATTTATAGGATTAGCAAGGAGAAGCTGTTGACAGGTAAGTATGGAATTTGGTGCTATGTGCCAAGGCCAATCACTGACAGTCCACAGTCTTGCATTAGACTATAAAAGGGTGACAAATCAAATCTTCACCCTGTTTGAGCCATGTGCAAAGAAGATTCATATCCACATGTCATTGATACTGTTTCACGGCAATAAAGCCTTCTCAAAGACAAGAGTCATTAATATGATTTGGGCAAATCTGTTAGATGAGACCATACCAAATAATAACGCGACCAGTAGCTTTCCATGGAGCAACATTTGTATCTCCCACAGTGATTTAAAATTGACTGTTTGGACCGTATTGGTAGGAAGCAAAGCAGATAATAATGTGCTGAGGCAGGTTTTGAAATCTAAGGAACAATAACTGTATTTTACTCTCTCCTTTTGGGTGTCAGTCTGCTCTGGAATTGCTGATTTTATTGGAAAAACAGGGCTTTTTAACTGAAAACAATGTACAAATGCTGGAGGAAGTCTGCATGAAGGTTTCACCTGATCTCCTAGAAACAGTAAACTGCTACAAAAGAGCAAAAGGTGAGAATTTCAGAGTCAGGGAGTAGGTTTGTTAAAATGCAGGAAGCACTAGAAGGATCTGGGCAACTGAACCTGAAGGTCCTATGTGTGCATTGCTGGAACAGGAGCTGATCACTCACCTTCACGCACACATTGGGCATGACAGTCCCTAGCTTACCTTACTTCTAGTTGAATTCCAGTAGGGATGTGCTGGAATATTTGAGGCCACACAGAGCAGTCCAGCACAGACAGAACAGACTGGGAAACTGAAAATCTATTTATATGTCGCACTTCTCCATTTCCCCATGAATAATATTGAGATTATGACTGTCCTGTAAAAGGCACTTTGTGATTTATGAATGTACATTACAACAAGGCAGTTTCCTGCTAATAAGCTCGTGAGGCAAACTGCCTGCATGTGTGTCACATACATGGTAGGCTTTATTATTAAATGTATGATTCACATTATCAGGGGTTATACTGCAGGCTGTAATTTCTCTTCAGTTAACGTGACTATAAGCATACTGGGGCAAAAGTTCTATTACCATTTATTTAAGCACTGGGAAACTAATTGTGCAAAGTACAAAGCTGCGTCTCCCCAGTAGGTGCAAGGACACTCAGAATTTCATGAGTTCCATTCCCCCGTGCTTTCTGAGTGTGTTTCAAAGTTGTTTTCTATTTTAATATATCTTTTAGTAAGTACAGGTCTGTATTTGCCTAATGTGCAGATTCATACTGGTTTAGCTAAAAGGCACTTGGCTTCTCTCATTTTGTCTCTTTCTGCTCTTAGTGTCTTTGCCTCAGCAGGAGAACACTCTTCCAGTCAGGGAATCTTCACTGTCTCACACTGGAAACATCAGAGTATTCACTTATCCACAGGTATGCTGGAGTACATACTGCTAACTTGGATTTTAGTGGGAAGAGGAGAAGAAGGGAGGGAGTTTTAACCTAGTTCTGAATGAGGAAAACCAGTCATCTTTCTAAGGATACTTCCGAGAAGTTAAGTTCTAGTAGACAAGAGCTGAGGGAAATGAGCTATTTAGCATCCAAAGGGTTTGCATTTCTGCTGCCTTGAGCTATATTTGCTCTATTTGTGTAGAAGGTTTGGGGAAGTCTTCATGCATGGCACTTGTCACAGTAAGAAAATTAATGTAGTTTTATTAAGAAAACGTAGATTTAAAATAATTTAAGAAAAATACTAAGATACTGTTTCCATAATCCTGATTATCACGTTTGATTTTTTCTTTAAAATGATGAGAGGTTATACGCTTTTTCCACGCTTTATAATAAACCATTGACATTTAACAGCTAATAGATGTCTCTGAGGCAGGACTAGAATCACTAGTTATAATCATGTATACTCAAAGAATTGACTATCCAAGAGAATTGATATGGAACTATGTTGGGACCTTTATTTAGTTTATAGTGACTGCCTGCCCCTATAGTGAGAGGATCATTTGGAAGTGAAAGAAAATTCTTTGCTGTTTCCCTTTGTCCTTAAGAGAAAATATAGTTCTTTCCAGCTCTGTGAGATTTGCTGTAAGTGGGGAAGTCTTTTGTAATTTCATTATTAAATGCTTTGCTGCTCTTAGGAATTCAGTATTTTTTCTACTCACTACTTAAAGAGCTTTGTATTAAGCCTATTTTGCTAAAACCACTATGAAAACTTACTATATTTAATAATGATTTTTAACATGGTATTCCCCCCACACAAAAAATAGGAGACCTCAATCAAATCTGTCAGTTCTAATATCAATGGTAAGAATTTATGAAAATATGTTTGGTTTTTATTACCTTTATGTTTAATGCTGCATTCCTTTAGTCTCTCTGAGAAATTTCTACTATTTGGTTTAGTGTAACACACTTACCTTGCTGTTGTCTTGGAAGGGTCTTTTGCTTTCTGCACAGATAGATTTGAAGGATTTCTGTTCATATATAAAAGAGGCAAGAGAAAATTGGTAAATCCTGTGCATTTTGTCAGTCATTTACTAGAAACTAACTAATGTGCTTTCTAGGAAGTGAAATAAGGACTGGTCTGAATAGAAGTAAAAAGATTATTTCTTTCCTGAAAACAAAAAACAAGTTTTCTGATTAAATATACCTGGGAGGACAAGAGAATGGGACGCTATGACTTTTTTAAAAACTCAGATGATAATTTTTTTGCGTACAGGATTTTACCTTTGACTTCTTCTGCTATATAGGTCATTACATTAAAGAGCCTGGGAGAGTTGAATGGTAGAGATAGATGTTTTGAATGTATTAAATAATGTAGTTAGCACCCATCTTTGTGACTCCAGGTCAAATGGACCAGTTGCAAAGTATAGCACTACAACACCTGTTAGCTCTTTTCCACTTTCAAGCTCTGTCAGGGCAGCCTTGCTGTGAAAGTCAGTCTGAGAGTGATTATCAGTGAGTCAGGAACAACAATAACAAAAAAAATATCTGTAATGGGAACTTCAGTAGTAACATTGCATATCCTTACAATACAGTTTGTTTCTAAGCTGATTTCCAAATAAAAAATTCATTTGAATGTCTCAGGTAGAGTCTAGCCTTGTACCATGGATATCTTTGTTCCACAATACCAATACAAATAGAAACCTTGCCTTTGTCACAAAAAATATGTATCAAAAATAACTGGAGGCATGTTCAGAACAGATCTTTTGAACGTGACAATGCTATCTCATACAGGGGAATTATTCCTTTCAATCAAACAGTACTTCAAATACAAAAAGTGCTGTATTGTAGCTAAACTCCTTTTTGCTACATCCACCAATACAGGATTTCTCTTCATAAATATCTATGCTGGTTTTTTTCCTAGATAACAAAGCAGCTAATCTTACACAAGGCTTCTCTGAAATGAAACTGGAGCTGCCTAGAGAATTCAGCAATGTAGAAAATGAATCCAAGGTTTGAGACAATCTCTTAAATCCTTCTTTTTGAATACCTAGGTGTGTGTAGTCTTCATCCCTGTAATGACGTTTATCATGGAAGGACATGCGAGATGTCTGTGTCTAATGAAGTTTTTTGAGTTGTCTGATCAACTGGAATGTTTCAGAGAATATTTTAACCTTGGAAGCCAGAAACTTACCAATATTGAAAAGCATGGTGGAGGCCAAACAGGCATAATACTTGTGATGTTATCCACACATCAGTGCATCTGCTTATGTTCCAAATACAGGCAAAACATTTTGCATTTTCTTAAGTTATGCTTTTTGGAGATGGCAGCAGAATGTGCAAGACAGATCAAACATAGCTTCACAGTTCTCTTTTTCTGTATCTGGCTTAGAAAAAGCTTCAGGGCAACTTGAAATTAGAGGTAGCATGCAAAGACCTTGTAAGAAGGATAAAAGAAGGCAAGTTTTTAGCAAGCTATTGCAGGCATGTAACAATCTTCCTCAATAAACCAAAAATCATGCTACAGGAGAAAAGATCCCTTTTGTGAGATCCCTTCTTAGAAGCCTTGTGTGCACTCTTTAACCTTGGAGAGCAGTGTGACCACTGAACTCTCCTTCTGGCTTTTTTCTTCTAATGAGCATGAATATTGAGGGAGCAAGTTACTGCATTTGTTTATAGCTATTTAGTTTCTTGAAGTTCTGTGCTATAACATACCTTTTCATCACCTCATATTCACACTACTGTAGCGAAAGTACTTCTTGCTACTATTGAAGGAGCTTGGAGTGCTGCCTTCATTTTGTTATACTAAAGCTATTTTGAAGGAGCTTGGAGTGCCGCCTTCATTTTGTTCTACTAAAATGCACAAAAGCTGGTGTTGTTTTCTCTCTCTAGTGAGCAGAAAAGAACTGGTAGTGAGAGTTTTTTTCCTTCAAGCCAAGGTTGGACTTGAAGAGATAGTACTTGAAGCTTTGGTGACTTCAGTTTCTAAAATGTTCGTTCTTAAGACTGGCAGGTAACTTTTAAATCTCAGCAAAACTGGTAGTCTGGCAGGTTTATGCATTTCTGAGATCTCTGTTCTTCCATCTGAAGTTAAAATATTGTCGTGACATTAGAAACAGTTGATGACTTCTGTCCCCATCACCAATTCAGACTGCAGCGTTTGGAAGCTGAATCCTCCCTATTGCATGCTGATGACCAACCCAGCTACCAAACCTCTTCTCTACAGTTTGGTGTTATAGTGACAGAGTGTGCTTGAGGCTTCACCCGTGTCTTTTCAGACAAGGAGGCACCATTGAGTTCCACCTTGTCAAGAGTAACCCACAGTCTTAGGTGCCTCTAATTTTTGGATCCCAATTTTGAGATGTTAAGGAAATATGAGTAAGCTGAATAAATTCATTGTGACTGTAAACTTTTTTCCTCTCCTTTCTACAGAAGATGACAAGCTACAAAATGGATGGACCACACAGAGGATTTTGTCTTGTTATTAATAATGTTAACTTTGACAGGTCCCTTCCGGAGAGGAAGGGTTCTTGCAAAGATGCTGGTAAGTTACTGAAGTGAGATTTTTGGGGGATTAGTCTCTGTTTCCCCATATGAGTTGATTGTCTAGTATTGCTCTATATTTTATTGTCTATATTTTAGTTAGTTAATATTCTTAAAGAGTAAAAAGTTTGATATGTGTTAAATTATGTCATTTCTGTAGCCTAGGAAGGGAAGGGTTAAAGGATGAGTAACCACTGAGTTTCTGATGCAATTGGATCATTCTTGAGTTGTTTTAAGAATTCCTTTTTATTTAGCCTTTATCTATAGCTATAAAAAGAACTAAAACTAAACTAAACCAAACCATCATTCTGCATAATAAAATGCAAAATTCCAATCAAGCAACTCTGTGCATACTTCTTATTTTATTCTGTTCATTCTGTTTATCTCTTGTGTATGAAACTCTTAATAGTCAAAACTTCAAATAATGATGTGAGGAAGGTTTTGAAAGATGTAAGCTGAAACTCCAGGTGGGGAGGATTCCTCATATTTTCAGGTGTCATTTGTGAGCTCACTTAGTGTGTCATTATACATTATAAAATGTCATTGTATTTTCTGAAACTTGTCTAGAAAAATCCAGGAACTCTGTGTTGACCTGATGCCATCTTTTTTTTATTCCAGTTAACCTTTAGTTGATACTAGTATAAGGATGAATCTGCAGAAGTGTCAAGAGTGTATGATCTTTCCTGGTTCAGACTAGCTTGCATGGTGACTTCATAAAATGGTTTTCTGTTGCCTCAGTTTTTCCTTTTAACCTTCTTTTAATTACAGAGGAACTGGAGCGAGTATTCACGTGGCTTGGTTTGGAAGTGAGGACTTACACAGATCTTACATCTCAGAAGATTAAAAGTCTCATGCAAACTTGGCAGCATTTACAAGATCACAAAGACAGGGACTGTTTTATATGTTGTATTCTATCTCATGGAGAGTCAGGAGCGATCTATGGGAAAGATGAGGAACTTGTATCAATCCGCATGATCATGTCCCACTTCACTGCCAAACAATGTCCACAGCTGGCTGAAAAACCCAAACTCTTCTTTATCCAGGCGTGTCAGGGTAAAGAGATACAGTGTCCTGTCTATGTTGAAGCTGATGCACAAGTTCCTGGCTTGTCTTCTATGCAACGGAGCGTTTCTCCTTCTGAAAGTATTCCTGAAGAGGCTGATTTCCTCCTAGGCATGGCCACAATTGATGGATATGTCTCTTTCCGGCACATTCAACAAGGTGCTTGGTATATTCAGGCCCTGTGCAGCAAGCTACAGTTGTTGGTACCAAGGTGAATACGTTGCTTAGCTCTTCCATGAAAAAATGGGAGGAACTTGCCCTTTTTTCTTTCTTTTTCTTTTTCTTTTTCTTTTTCTTTTTCTTTTTCTTTTTCTTTTTCTTTTTCTTTTTCTTTTTCTTTTTCTTTTTCTTTTTCTTTTTCTTTTTCTTTTTCTTTTTCTTTTTCTTTTTCTTTTTCTTTTTCTTTTTCTTTTTCTTTTTCTTTTTCTTTTTCTTTTTCTTTTTCTTTTTCTTTTTCTTTTTCTTTTTCTTTTTCTTTTTCTTTTTCTTTTTCTTTTTCCTTTTCCTTCTCCTTTTCCCTCTCCCTCTCCCTTTCCCTTTTTTCTCCAAAGGCACATTCACATAGGAACACTAACCCATGTTCTGAGGTGGACAGAATTAGTTAAACTTATGATTTGTTTGCTTGACACTGATAAATTTACATTAACTGCTAGTATAATAGAGATAATCTGGAGAATGTGACATTTATTTTTTAAAAAAATCTCAAAACCTCCCATCTATATTCATTAAGGCAGAGCCATCTGTTTCTTGAGTGGATTTAGGTAAAACTATTTTATTCCATTATGCTTCTTTACTGGTTGAAGCAAACGATGCAGAGTAAGACAAGGTCTTTTGTTTTTAATACGATTCAAATGAGAACAAAAGAGAACAAATTTGGAGAAAAGGATGTGTTTTCTTTTTTGTGTTTTAAATGTTTATACTGTATCTTCTAGAGGATCTGGGAGGTGTAAAATGGACTTCCATCTGCTCATCAATAAGTAATTTTTAAAATATTTGTTCTCCTTCTGGCTCTAGGGGTGAAGATATTTTGTCAATTCTTACAGAAGTTAATGAAGATGTGAGCAGACGTGTTGACCGCCTAGGGACAAAGAAACAGATGCCCCAACCAGCATATACCTTAAGAAGAAAATTTATATTCCCAATACCTAGAGACCCTCCTCCTTCACTGCAACATTGAGGCTTTTAAAATCCATCCTTTTTTATCAACACATCTCATTTAAATGTGATTTACTACACCACCTGTTTTAAGGCAGTTACCCAGAATCCTGAGGTACAGTTAGCTTCAAGGCAAGGCCTTGCCTCATAAATTTTTTGCCAAACAAACTGAAACTGGACGAGACACAAGCAAAACAATCCATGTGCCAACTATTTGCATCATCTATATATTCAGAGTTATCAGGCTCGGGAGAAGCATGCTTCTATAATGTTAAACGTTTTTGTACTTGCACAGGCTGCAGATATGAAAGTGTTTTTCTGTCAGCATAAGGGTGGGTTGCATGTAGCCTTCCATATCTAAACCAGGGTTGTTAATGGTCTGATATAGGCTCATCATGTTTTATTTTGCAGGCTAACAATTTTAAATCCTGCCTGTAAATCCACTAGCTGTATATAGAAAAAGTGGGAAAGAAGAGAAAGCTTAACTAGTAAGTGGAAAAGGATTTCTTCCATCTCGAACTTAAATGACATTTAACTTAATGGAGAACCAGATAACTATTGAAATCAGTAATTTGTTCCACAAGGCACACTGATACCACTTAATAGCTCTCATGAACCTCATGTACAATGAGATCTTTTCAAAACCGAATAAAACCAAAATGCTGCCTAGTATTCCCTCTGTGAAACCTTGTGAACTGTCATTTTCCCATCACTTCTGTGAAGAAAAGTTAGAGTAGAAGATTTGAACACTACAAAATATGGCATGCAGCAGTATAGCTGCATGCCATATCAGGTTTATTAACTTTGTTAAGCATTAAATTTTCTGATTATCATGTCTTGCTTTAAGATCTAAAATGCAGCCACATGAGAAACAAGGCTTCTTGTTGATTAAGCTTCTAACATATTTTGTGAATTAACTGAAATAATATTGTGTTGTTTTGTTATGAGCATTTATTATGTATGTCTGTGTCCTTCCTGTTTGTTACTGCATTAAATTTATACTCCTTTTTAAGAGCTTGGTAAGATAAAAATTATGTAGTGGGGTAAGGCTTCTCCTTGTTTCTGATTAGTCCCTGCACTTTATTGGGCTGCATGAATCAGTGGGGTTTTAACTGCCTCAGGGTTTAAGCTGAAGTGAAACTTAGTTTATTTCAGCAAAACACCAATTGTTGTATATGATTACTAGCCATAAGTTAGGGTGAAGATTTAAAAGAGTACTGCCTAATGCTGTTGGATGCAAGTTTTAGCTTGCGCTTCCAGGGATTTTAGAAGGGGAGTTTTGCATCATACAGAGCACTGAAATGCAGCCAGTTTGCCAAAACATAATGATCAGTTCTTATGATGAATTTATAGTTGTGCGACCCATCACATTTTGAGTCTTCTGGGTTAGTATGGCTGACACACTTGAAGTCACATTTGTGCTACATACAGAAAATGTTTTGTCTGTTACTAAAATATATAACATATTGTAATAGAATAATGAAGTTTCTGGCTCGCAATTACTGTTCAGACTTGGTACGATCTTGGTTTGTATGTTTAGGTAGCAACTGTATTTTTGTCAGTACGGAGTAAACACTGACAATTTTGACCTTGTTTTGTGGGATCTTGTTTTCATTTTTAAGTTTGGTAGAGAGAGAACATCATAATGTTATCTTACTTTCTCTGTAGAGGCTGCTGCCTGGATAATCTCCAGTCAAATCATAGGTAGTTAAAGGCAGTCAGAAGAATCTAAGCTGACTTCTACCTTAAGTCTGCCTTCACACCTGTGAAGTATAAAAAATTGTTAAAGTCTCCTTCACTTATAATAAGGTTTGTTCAAACACAGTTTACACCACCATGATTTATACTATAAATATGAATATTTTGCTTGTGTGTTTTGAGGGTTGTGTTTATATGGCTGCACGCTGTAATACAGTGCATGCAGTGGTACTTGGTCAGCAAAAGCCCAAAGGCAGGGTATGCTTAGCATTATAACCACAGCTGCCATTCAGCAAGAAGCATATATGCATGTGTTGCTCTCTACCTACAGAATTAAAGAAGGATTGTGACTTGTGCAAGCCTTATTTAGACAGATTTAAGCGGAACTACTGTAAAAGAGTCTTTGTGTTGGGGAAGTTGGTATCTTGGGAAGATCATGATCTTCAAGTGGGACTTGTAACATTCACAGGTCTCTGGTATACTGTCCAACCTGACTGTCACTTACTGTGCAGGAGTTGTGTATCCTGCCTTGTGCCAGTAGAGGCTACAGTCACAACAGTTGCTGAGTAATCGGTAGCCTCAGCATTTTTGCTTCCTGAAGACCAGCCTTTCTGGGAGAAGTGAATTTTTGGCAGGCTGCTGTACAAGGAATAGATTGGGTCACTTCAGACAGTTCTAGAGGAAGCTGGAGGGACAAAACCAGGGTGCAGGGGAGCTGAGGGAGTTGGGGAGACTAAGTTGTAAGTTAACAAATGGACAGGAACATTTTGAGGAAGCGTGAGGAAGAAATAAGAAGTGAAACAGTAAAGACAAAGAGGAAGAACAGTGCCAAGAGGGCTGGTCCTTGAAACTGCTGCATGATGGGAGAAGCCTCTATCTGGAAAGAGCCAACCTGGGCTTGGTCTTGTCTGCAAATGTTTTTCACACAGTGCTGATCACGGCATGCTTTCTTTTTCAAACTGCAACTGGAATCTTGATTCAGTTAAGACGCAGAGGAACTGATGCAAGGAGAGAGACACTAAGGCATGGGATGACATGGAGGCAGAACCATTTTGGACCTGAAGATCAGATAGTGCTTGTGGTGTCCCTCTGTGCTGCTCCCAGCCTTTGGATAAAAGGACAACTTGTGCCAGTGAAGTATGTCAGACATTTTCTGAACTGTTACTAGCGTGTGCCTTTTGGAATGAATTTGTATGCCTCATTCTATCAAAGGGTATGTTATAATTTTGAGTTTATAAAGGTAGATAGCTTGAATTCAATGAATGATTGTTTTTGTGGCAAAATTTTAACAAATTTAATCTCTCCTGTCTCTCTTCATAATGCTGTCTTCAATTGCTTTGGAGAGTTTGGTAGCTGTACAGTTTGCTGATCATGTGTTTCCTGCTGTAAGGAAGATACTGGTGACCAGCAGACCATACTGGGAACCTTAGCATTGAAGGCAGAGTTTTGTACTTCGAAGAGGGTAAAAATGCCAAAAGTTAATTATTGCTTAAATTCTCTTATAAATAGGGAACTATATTACACAACTAATTTCAAATGAATGATTAGCCTTTCAGTTCCCTATATTCACTGAATACTGCTCCTGAATTTGATGCTGACAGCTGACTTTTTTAAAATTTAGGAAATAATCTACCATGAAACTGCATGTTAAAAATAAACTAGGGTGAGCTGGAGAGGGACTTGAGAGAAAGGATGTAAGTTGTGGCGAATCTGGTGACAGCAGAGCACTGTAACTGAGATATTTTTAAATGGGAAGATATAATGGATTCACCCTTCCCTCACTGTCTTTTAATTAGGATTTATGTATGGGGAGCAAGTATACTAAGCTGTGCTGCTTAATGTGTCCCCTTAAAACAAAAGCCAAACCTGGTTACTTTTGTGGCTTGTTTACTAATTTTTCTCACAAGCACTCTAAGAATTAAGTTCCTGAAACTGGAACTATCATAGGTGGAGTAGAGAACTGCTGCATTACAACCACAGCTTATTACTTTGTTATAGCGTACTTTTTGTAAGTCATGTGACATATAGGCCATAGTACACAAGGCAGTGCTTTTCCAAGAAGAAGACTTCAGAGACTATGGCTGTCTCACTTTTTTCAGAGTTGTTCCAGCAGTCCTCTGGCTTGTCCCCGCGTGTAAATGATTAGTATTAGTATTATTAAACAGTTTGCTTGGTTTTGTTGTGAACAGTTGTGTCTTTAATTTAGTAAAGTAGGAGAAAAAGAAGCGGTTAAACATTGTTTTAGTGTGCTTCCTGTATTTTGCAGACAGGCTTAAATATAGTGTGTAGGTGGCACCTCTGTTCTAATTGAAATAATTTTGTGGGTTTGAAACTTATAGCCTTTGAAAAATAAAAATGAAAATTTCCTTTACCAGAAAGATTTACTTTTCTAAGCATGTGCCTTGTATCTTAAACAAAAGGCATGATTTATGTGAGAAGTAAGATAACTTCATAACTAGCTACCAAGAAAATATTCTTCTCTTTCCTGTGTGGATATAAAAATACCCAGTCTGATCTGAGATCATTGAACTGTGAGGTTAAGCACATATGATTCATTCAGATACTCGTGGTTTTGTGGTGATGTAGGCTGAATGGTATGGATTCTAGTCTGTTTAAAGTTCAGTTTGAACAGATTTAAAGAAAACAGTATTTGAGGGCAGGGCATGAATTGTACATGCTGCCTCAGAACATGTTTTGCTGTTTTATCAGGTTTTTTGATAGACAAATGTTTAAGATTCAGTTATATGTTCACTCTTGCTAACTAACAGAATGCTGACCAAGGGTATGTCACAAAAAGCCATTGGCTGTACAGTGGTCCTTGGAGGAGAGGGGAGTACAATCGTCTGCTAATTATATTTTCTTTATATTTACAGTAGTACCGATTCAGTTAGTCAGCTGGGCTTCCTTGGAGTTAATAGCCCTGGTATTGAAAAATTTGCAGTAGCAGTAACGTTAAAATGGATTGCCTAATATTCCAGTAGTATAGGAGTAGGAAGTTTTGATTTGCTGTTGTCAACTTTTCTGTTTCCCAGTGAGTTCAACGGGACAAGAGACTTCTACTGAATGCATTTCTATAGGTTTCTCTTCAGAGATTCCTAGGTGTCAGATCTAAGGCAGAGACTATAAAGTGGCAAATGGCTCTCTTATCAGAGAGGCAGTGGAGATAGGCCTATTAAATGTCAGGGTGAGATAGTTGGAAGGCTTGCACTTGGTATTTTCTAACTTTCTCTTGTGCTCAAAAGTTGGATCCACAAGCCACGTTTAAATTTCTAAAGCTGATGGAGGAAGTGGTGGAGAAGGGAGGTGGTATTTGATGTTCATTGAAACAGAACTAGTTTGACAAGAATTATCATGGCTTTTTTAAAAGCCATGTATTTGATTTGAAGATTACAAATGGATTGAGAGCTAGGAACTGAGTTTTACTTGATGCAGATAATCCAAAATAGAAGAGGTGCTTTGGCTATGCTGACCAGCATCAGAAGTGGTATGTAAAGAAAGGAAGAAGCCAGATAACTTTGAAGAGTTATATTCATGTGAACTGTTATCTTTGTTATGATGTAAAACCTTTATTTTTGTTATGGTGTAGAACCTGTCAGTCTCATTTACTACATAGTCTGTATTGCAGACTGGCAAGTGAATCTTGCTCCCAAATAGGATCAAACCTCAAAAAAAACCCCAAAACAAACCCCCCAAAAAACCACAAACAAAACGAAAACCACCACCACCAAGAAAACCCTGAACTAAACGAGGAGCAGCCGGCTAGAATTGTACATCCTGTACATTGGTATTTTGCACTGTCTAGACACGCATTAGGAAGCAAGAAGGATCTGTGACTTCCTCTAATTTCATTTACTGCAGAGTTCTTTATATTCTTTGTTAAGTCAAGAGAACCAAAAGAGTTAAGCATGAAAGCTCTGATAGCCAGACAGCTTCTCTCTACCGAAGTACTTTTGATTGCCCGTATTTATTTTGGGCTATTTGACGTGATGTGATACCTTTTATAATCACGTTGTTACACTACTGTTACTGACAAAGGAAATCAACTTCTGTTTGTGTTTAGATACAGATCCTAATGTGAAATGAGTACAAACTTCCACAGACTTCTCTTTGACATTTCTGAAGCTTTGGTCACAGATGAACTGGCAGCTCTGAAGTTCCTCAGCCTGGAGCACATCCCCATGAGGAAGCTGGAAGCCATCCAGGAGCCCAAGGCCTTCTTTGAAGTGCTGCAGGAGAAAGACATGATTGAGGTGGGGAACCTGTCCTTCCTGAAGGAGCTGCTCTACCGGATCAATCGGATGGACCTCCTGGCTGCCCACCTGGACTCCAGCCGAGAGGAGATGGAGAAAGAGCTGCAGATCCCAGGCAGGGCAAAGGTGTCAGCCTACAGGTAAGTACAGAAGTAGTAAACCTTTGCATGCAAAATGTACAACAGTTCTGTTGTACACTCTCTTGTTTTCTGTCTGCACTGCTGTCTTATGAATATCCCAGCATAACTGTATTTATTACAACGTGACTACCTGCCATTGTAAGCTTTACATTTTGCAGTTCAAATATGTAATTGTGGTGTTTACTTCTTATAATTTCCTTCTCTTTCTCTATTCTTTATTGCCAGGCAACTGCTATATAGAATTGCAGAAGACTTGACTCCAGAAGATGTCAAGAGCGTGAAGTTTTTGCTCCAAAAAGAAATACCAAAGAGCAAGCTCCAGGATAATGCTGTATGCAAAGTGATCTTGATAAGTTTCTTGCAAGGCTAGTTCAGGGTCTACTAGTTCTTGTAAGAAGGGAGGAAAGAAAAAGCAGTCTGCTCTCTCCAAAGTTTGTTGTTGAAAGAATTGTGATGTTAGCTGATAGCTGCTGTGTGAAAGAATGGACCTTTTTTTTCTCATTGTATCATTTCTCTGTCCTTTTTTTGCTCTCCTGTTCCTATTTTCCCTCCACCTAATCTCCCTAATCTTTTCTTCTTGCAAAATCCATCATGCTCTTCCTTTTGTCTTTGCTTCGCATTTATAAGACCCTTGTACATGTGCTGTATCTAGGAAGACTGATGTTTGCTGGAGGAAAAACAATGTTTTGGAGACAGACAAGTTCTAATGTGAGTTCAATCACAAATTCTTGTGTGTACCCAACCCAAATTTGGGTACATTTTCTTCTTTGTTGCAATTTGGGGTAACAGTGTTTTGTTAACTCCTCCACAAAAATACTAGGAAGTCTGATAAGCTAGTTTAATACTTGTGTTATAAATAATGAACAGTGTTATAAAAATGTTTGGTGTTATTGAGAAGCTTCCTTAAAAGTCCTATTTGTGTTGTGGCACCTACACGAAAATAAGCAGATTTACCTCCAACTTGGTGGACTATAGAGCTTTAAAAAACAAAATTAACCCTGAATACCTTTTCTGTAATAGAAAATGTAAAATGGCACAGCTAAATGACTTAACAGCACTTCATCTGAACACAGAGGATGCCATGTTGTTATTCACGTCTGTGCTTTGCACTGCTGAAACAAAGCAGGATAACCTAGCCATAGGCAATTTCTAATGATCCTTTCTTAACCTTAGTGATGTGTTTCTTCAGTTGCATTGCATCCTGACCCTTGTTTTAATGAGGCTTGGAGGAAAAACAAATTAGTCTTTAGCCGGTCGGTCTCTGGTAATGAGGATGTTGTCTTCTGCTCTGTCCAGAAGTGCCTGATGCTGCATTTATTGAACTTACTGTCACTGTATGAGTTTGTGTTATGTATTTTTATTTTACCAGACAATGTTGCAGGTCTTACTGGAAATGGAAAGAAATGGGATGATTAAAGAAGATGACCTGACAAGGCTGAAAGATGTATTAAAGGGATTTAGAGCTGATGTAAAGAAAAAAATCGTTATCTATGAAGAAAAAATAAAAGGTAAATATTATTTAATCTACTGTTTAAGAGGAGAGCTGGCAGGTTTTTTGTGATTTTTTTTTTTTTTTGTGGCTCAATCTTTGGTGACTTAGGAGTTCAGAGATAAGAGAGAGACCTTACAGTATCCTAGGATAGGCAGAGCGGCTCTTGGTACCTGTGGTTTCTGAAGTTTTCTGCTACTTCATCATCCCATCATACCTTCTTGTATCTCTCCTTGAAATAGGTTCTGTGCCTTATAAACAGTCTGCTTCTCCCTCCTCTTTC